TATGTGCACATAATAGTAATATTGCAGTTTGATAATCAATATTTTGACTGAACAACTGAATTATGGTCGGTTTTGATGAGGTTTTGGCACCTTTCTGAACTTTGAAGAATTTGGTAACCTCGCTGTCTATGGAGAAAGAGGGAGCTCTTTCCCCTAAAATATCTTCATTTCTTTAGTTATTTTTATGTGTGCACAAGGTTTCTCGTAGCTAAATAATATTCAGATTGAACCACTGATGGCATATGGGCTGTTTTTATTCCATATTTTTTATATGAGCCTGTTTTTGGAGGATGAGGGAGCTCTTAGATTTCACCTAAATATCTTAAATTGTGTGTGATAGGAGAAAGTTTGAAAAGTCTGTGAACTTAAATCTTTTGCCAGTGTTTATAAATAAAATATATAGGTCAACCATACAGTCTCCCATTTTGGTGTCTTCATCAAATTGAATTTACAAAAAGATTCTACAAACAAAAAAAGCTGAAATTCCGGTAAACAGTCAACTTCAATGTTGTTTGACGTAGCGGGCAACTAAAATGTTAAAAGATGACTGAAATAATGGCTGATCTTCACAATTTCACACCAAATAATCATGGAATGTTTCAACTGAACTTAGATTTAATTACAGACACTCCCAACTGTTTTCATTGTTTTGTTTTGTTTTATTCAGTTTTACCCCAGCAGTTGGGTTTGTTTATATTTACCCAAAATTAACTTTTTTATTTTTTGACCAAAATGTTTATTAAACAATTTTTGCATTTTTAGACTGTGCTTATTATAAACTATTGTTATTAGAAGACTTCCTCTCTCTGTCTTCAACTTCTCTTCCCGTCTGATTACTGTCTTATCACAATAAAGGCAAAACGGCCAAAAATAAATCTTGAAAAAAAGAATGATTTAGTGTTTACATGTCATTAGTGTCTAGATTAATGTTATTATATTTAAAATGATTAATCTTTTTGCTCACACGTTAAAACCTAATGGTGTCAAGTGTGAATATTTAAAATGACTAAAGATCAATTATTATTTTGTGGCTGCACTGTGATCCTAAAATAGACTTTTTTATGTCATCAGTGATTCTTGCTCTAAAACCTGCTTGACAAGATTTCTTTGGTATATAAACTATTATCATACAGAGTGACTTTTTAGTTAGTCACAGAGTGACATTTAGAAAATGACATTTTGTATTCTGTAAATCACAGTAAAAAAAAATGTAGGTCATGCTAGTTTGCTTTAAAACCCCTTTTAATCTTTGACCCACATTCAAATAAGACAGAGTGCAGAAACGTTACAAATGCAGATATCATCTCAGATCATTTGACTTCGGAATGTAAAGAAAGATGAACATCATGATCAAAATTAGTCCCAGGATAATTTTTGTATTTTGATGATGGATGGATGGATGATTAGGGTCTTTTAATCAGGCCTTATAACCAGCTTGCATATGTATTCTAGCATATGTTTTACACAGCAGATACCCTTCAGCCAAAACCCAGTACTAAGAAACACCCATCGCACCCACAGGAAACCCACACAAACATGGGAAGAACATGTAAACTCCAAACCGAAATGCCATCTGGTCTAGTCGGGACTTAAACCAGTGAACTCCTGCTGTGAGGTGACAGTGCTAACCACTGAGCCGCTGTGCCACCCGTTTTTGAACCATAATGTATAATAATGTATATATTATATTAATTATAACACTTAAATACTATGTGTACTATATGTTAATACTATGTAATTACTATTATAGTATAAACTGTAAATACTGTAGTATGCTTTAGATTTAATACAGTCAAATGTAGTGTATAATATACTCTACAGCTGTAAAAAACTTAATACAACAAAACAAATTACCCAATACTGAACTGTCATAGCAACTATTGAATTACCACAACAGATTATGGTTAAAGGATATTATAGTGTTTACGGTTTACTATAATACAATGTGCTTAACAAAAGAAAGAAGTTCTTACATGCGTTTGTCATTAAATATGACTCATTTTTATTTTAATTATGCTCATTTTAATCCTAATACAGACATGTGAGATGTACAGTACTTTTATCTGCAGGTTCAGATTCGACACCTGACTCATGTACACTTCCTCAACAAGAATTTCCATTACGCTTTCCTTGAGCTCCTCAAGTGCCAAAGCTCGTTACTCAGATCCATTCAGGTCACAATCATGCAGCTCACACACAGGAAACTGGGGTGTGGGAGAGGGCAGATCTTCACAAACAAAACACACTCCCACGGAGACAGTCTGAGACCCTCTGGGGCAGGTTGAGCAGTACCTTTAGCTCTCCGCAACAAGCAGCAAGTGCTCCCTGATGCAGTCATTCAGAGAAAGAGGGGAGGAAAGTGCCTGTGTAACTTATAGCAACCAAGAGCCAATGAGAAAGCAGGGGAGGCTGTGCAGCCATGACAATGAGGCAGCAGAACTGCCTCCAACAGCACACAGAAATTAAAAGCATGGCTGTTACGAATTACTGTGATCAGACCATGTATATGTCACTAGTCAATGCTACGTTAAAAAGCAATAAAAGCAAAGCAAAATGGATGCAAACACACTTAAACTATTGGATGGAAAATGAGCTGGGGTAAAAACACTATTATTATTAGTCGTATGTTAAGTTATTGTTTTATTTAATTTTTATTCTAATTAAAAGGTATTAAATGTCACAAAAAGTTATCAATTAATATTTATTGATATCCAAACAATTAATCTGGCTCAAAATGTACATCATTTTGAGTGGGCCAACTTTGAGTGTAAAGAAGAAGAAAAAAAAACGTCTTTAAAGCCTATAAACAAGGAATTAATGCAGAACTCATAAAGTCTCTTCTACATATTAATGTTGAATTTATGTGTAAAATGACTTGAATTGCAGCTGCTAAATACAAAAGAGATTTTGTAAAATTAAAATCCTACATTATCATCAGTCATTACTTCAGCTGACAGTGTCAAGTGTTCTTGCAGAAATTAACTTTATAAAGCCTTTACTGTCACTTTTGATCAATTTAAAGTCAAAGTCAGCTTTATTTTAAAAGTTTACCTGTCACGATCACCAGCGATGCAGGCTTACAATTCTGTCACTTTATGAACTACAACTCCCGTCATGCACCAAACAACACACCTGTTCTGTTTCCACACAAAAGTTTCTGTTATTGCAACACCATGAAACGTTTTGCTGTCTTGTCTAGTCGTGTTTTGTCCCTTTGCCTTGTTTTATTGTTTCCGTTGTTTTCGTTGTCTGTCTTGACCATTCGCCTGCTTTGCTGATCATGCTTCTGGGTTACCCCTATGAACAGCTAATAGATAAGCTCGGAAGAAACAAAGCTTGAAATAAGAAATTACAGTTGTTTTCAGCCCTTGTTTAAACTCTTCTTTCTCCAACCGGGATTATGGAAACTTACATGCACCTTCCCGTGTTTGTCGCAAATTACGTGACATCACCCAGATGGAGGAGCTTGGCTGGACGCAAAGCCGCCCGAACCAATCACGTGGATTGAGCACGTCGTTGTTATTATTAGGAGGAATATAAATATATTTATGCTATTTTGGAGTTAAACACTTTAGACAATGCTTGAGCAAAATTTAGGACCTTGTAAAAATACCATTAAGACTTTTTAATACCTTTTAAGGGCCTTAAGTTTCTCATAATTGATCAACTTTTACAATACACGATACACAACAATGTATCGTTACAACAATCTCACGGCAATTCATAGGATCTAATTCGTACTATTTAGTACAATTTGCTGTACACCCAATGACGATTGGGTGTAGGGGTGGGGTTGGGTGCCATGCCTCCTTTTCAAAATCGTACATTTTCCTACAACTGAACTCATACAAATTAGCCACTAAACAGACAAAACTTAAAATACTTACTCGTAAGATCAGGCTGACTTTTAATACTTTTAGACCCCGCAGACACCCTGAATAAATTGTGTGTGGATCCTCAAGTCTGTTGTACCCCGACTCCACATGTTAAACTGCCATGTGTACAAAGAAGTGAAATTACAAATACACCTTTGGTGTATACAAATAACTAAAACACTACAAGATGAATATAAATACAAAACATGCGCAGAGTTTAGTAGAAATTAAGAGAGAAAAAATACAAAAAGAAATATATAAATACATAAATACTTTATACAATTAAGAGCACAGAGTAGTTCATGTATCATTGATGATTTAAAAGTCGGTGTGGAGTTTGCATGTTCTCCCCATGTTTGCACGGGTGCTCCGTTTCCCCCCACAGTCTAAAAACAAGCGGTATAAGCTAAATTGAATTGGATAAGCTAAATTGGTTGTAGTTTATGTGTATGTGAATGCAAGAGTATATGAATGTTCCCCAGAAGTTGTGGTTGGAAGGCATCCACTGCATTGAACATTTGCTGGAATAGTTGGTGGTTCATTCTGTTGTGGTGACCGAAGAAAAATAAATGAATGAGTAATTTCTCTGAATTTTATCCTTTTACTCCATTTTAGTCAAATAAATGAAGCAGCTATGACTTTTACAAAGCAAATGCATGAGCACTTTTTCTCCACCAAAACTCCACCAAAAAAATCCCATATATATATATGTATATATATATATACACACACATTATACGTAAGTCACAAGAAACTGCTCAAAAACTTGTTAAAGCATAAAAGCAAACATATATCACTTTAAACAGTCAAGGTGCAGTGACAATGCACCAGTGACATTTTCAGCAGCCGGTGGTCCATCTTAACCATTAAACCCCTGTATAAAACATTTAATATCAGACCAGCTGATATAAACAAACCTCAATGGCTCAGACACTTACAAACTAGCTCTGAACAAGCAGCATGAGGAACCCAATAGTACAACATGTATCAGACGAGGGCGAGAGAATCACCTTTGCCACCTTTGCACCCCCCTTAAACAATTACTCATTATCCATTTAACATCCTCCACACCAAAAGAAACCAAGCAAACACACACTAGCTCAACACAAATACGCTGATGTATACCTGTAAGGGATCCAGTCAGACGAGTGTTTGGAGCTCATATCTGTGTGCGATCAATGGGACTAGAGCGTAGCGGTTTAGGACAGCAGCAGCGATGCCAACAGCAGAGCCCATGCAGCCCAATCATCCCCTGCACTTCTGTCTCCGTAAAGCCAGCTGATCTACAGTCTTTCCCATTCACACAGTCTCCGCTCACAGTCCGCAGTGGATCTGGACTCCTGTTCCCTCGACATGTGCTGTCGTCTTTGTTTGTCCACAATCCCTCGTGTTTTATTCGTCCTTTCACCTTCACTGCGCGTCTCTCATCATCGTCTTATCCGCTGCTCTGTATACGGTGTCTCTCGCTATCCTCATCTGTGCCTCCTTCCCTCCCTTTTCCCTCTCTCTCTCTCTCCCTCTCTCTCTCTTTCAGACCACTGCCATTATAACCTTACACAGCCCTAAGAACAGAGAACATATAAGAATGAATTGCTTTTGTCTAGTAGCTTTGATGTTCGTCGTGATGCTCTGCTGGTCCGTCAACGCTCACACACACACACACACACACACACATACGGGCACGAGGCTCTGAAAAGCAGGAGCCTCCAATGTGCTTTCTGAACCATGATTTATTCATCCCTTCATTCAGAGCTGGGCTCATTAACATGGGACAGAGCAGCGCAGTTGTAATTGTCTTTGTTTAACATGCTGAATCCAAACTGGACGCACCATTTTGTCTTTGTTTATCTCCTTTTTTAAAGTCCCCTTGGGTACTTCCCTCAGCTAAATGACTTCATATACATATTTTAATATCAACGTTATCATGCTGCTTTTATTATCAGTTCTCGAGGACTAAGGTGTTGTATGATGTAAGATGTTGTATTTTATTGCTAAAACGATATTCAGAATTGAAAGAACGCTGCATGACTTTCTGCTTTCGAATTTAAGCAGACATATTAACATAATGCAAGGGGCTCATAATGAAAAACTGTTTCCTTTAGCTTCTGGTAGGGTTTTTTAAATGAGATGTCCTTCTGTATTTGTCTCAAGCGCAGTCTGTCGTGTTTGTCTGTAATATCCTCAAGCAGCCTGAAGCGTATTCTGTGTTACTGTATATCAGCTTCCTCATCTCTCCTCTGGACTCCCTCATCTTTCTTACTGTCACACTTAGTCTTGTTGATTTAGTGCATGGCTCAAGCGCACACTCTTCCTTGACCAATAAAACGCTCTGGGCGCTTTGCGTGTGTGCTGTTTTTGCTGGTTAAATGAATCAGATTATAGGTAAAATCAGAAGGGAAACTGGAGCATATTATAGTTTAATGAAGAACTGTGCTCTAAATCTCACGGAGAGCCATAAAAAGGTCTGATCCACATCCCAGCTTTCTTTGGTCAAGCACTACCAGCTCAGACAGGAAACGTCTGATGTGTGAGATAAACCATCAATCAACGTTTGTTTACAATATGTTTTATGTGATGTATTAGGGCTGGATTTGTCAGATAATATCTGAAAATCAAACATTAGACTTATGTCTGTGTGTCTGGCTGTTTAGAAAAATGCTTTTAAAAATAAAAGTTAAGATTTTACAACTGTTTTCTTCTATTTTCTGAATGCATGTGCAGTGGCATAGCGGACGGGCCCGCAGGGCACGCACCGCGGGGGGGCCCCGCGTGATTACGGGGCCCCACGTCGTCGCGATTTTCAATGATTGAAGATCCAGGAACCGCAATAATCAAACTCTTGGGAACAACTGTGGTTGGAACCAAAGTTCATAGAACTGTGTTCTCTGAACTCCTCTCAAGGTGGACTACTTGCTTGCCGCCGAACCGCGTCATAGCCAATGAAGACGCGCTGCTGTTTCTCGCCGCCGGTTCTCGTTAAAAAATGAATGACTTCTGGCTACTTTGACGCTCTCGCCGCTTTCGGTTTGTGATCGCTCCTCAGTTTGTGATGGATTCCTCGCGTTGTCGCTCCACCCCGTCTCATTTCCCCGCTCCTCAATTTGTGACAGATATATACACTAGATATCGCATAGGGACCCTGAGCATGCGCCAATAGCGCCGCCACATTGGTACAGTGTTCCCAGGACAAATGTCATTCAAACGCACTAGTCAAGACAGTGTTATTACATGAAAATGCGGGACTTTAGCGCTGTCTACGGGTGTAGTAACAAGCAAACAAAGAAAACAAAGCACAAAGGCAGAACATTTTATAGGTAAGATTAAGTTTTTTATGTTTTTGTATGTTCTGAAATTTGTGCTAAACAGATAGGCTAGTTATCGTTATTGATGATAACAGTCACTTACTGCATTCATCATAAGGCAAAGCAGCTCCAACTCGCACTAAATACTCGGCTTATGCTAGTTTTGTTGAATAAAATTAGCAAACAATGCAAAAGAAATATGACAACGAGATGCTGCGCTGCCAGAAACTTGTATTATTGTCGGCGAGTGAACGAGTCGTTCATAACAGAGATTTATTCACAAACAAATCGCTCCCTCTGTCAGTATGAGAAAAAGAAAAACTAAAATTTTCATAATTAAAAAAAAAATTACATACTAACATCCAGGATAACTCCCGTTCATAGGTATATGTGTATATCTCTGGCTCTGACACCACTCCCCCCACGCCCACCCCCGGCCTTCATCTGGGGGCCCCGTCGGTGATCCTTGCAGGGGGGCCTCCGCATTTTGCGCTACGCCACTGTGCATGTGTAACCCACCAGTCCTACTGCACCTAAGCAGGTCTGAGCTGGGATCAAACCAGCGATGCTTTGCATAGGAGTCGGTGGCTTTAAAAGCTGATTTATACTTCTGTGTCAATCGCACGTGTATGGTCCAGCGTAGCTATTGCATGGTCGCACACCCCTCGCCTTGGCTGACACTGACCAGCACCTTTAAAAAAATTCTCTGGGATTTGTCGGCATAGTAGGACTGACGAGTGTGGGCAGTGCTGAGAGCTGTGAGCCCGTTGGAGCGAGTATTTAGAAGTGTCGAGTCCTGTAAAGGAGCTCCAGATGGAAACTTTTGTTTTGTGTTTACCTCATGAATAAAGTAGTTGCATGTCCACTTGTTCCCGTCGTAAAATGAGTAGGTTTAAGCTACTTGTAAGTAGCTTTTATAAAAAAACAAACCCCCGTGAAGAAACTCGACACAGAGAAACATAAGAACCTTACTACCAACTAGCGTTTCGGCAGTGTTATTGCAGAGCGACAGAAACAGCACACAGAGGTATAAATGCATGGCAATGTGCAAGGCATATGCCATGGGTCACAACAACCACTCGACACAGAAGTATAAACCAGTCTAAACTAGGAGGCTAAAGACCATGGCCTCATCAGTCGCTAGACTACCTTTAGGGGTCAGAGAAGTAAGGTTTACCTGTATAACACTTCGCTAACTGACCTCCATTACACTCACCCTCCTAAACTTCACTCCTATCACGAATAAGCACCCATGTGTAACCCACTGGTCCTACTGCACTCAACCCGGTCTGAGCTGGGATCAAACCAGCGATTCTTTGTATAGGGGTCGGTTGCTCTAGCAAGGAGACTAAAGACAATGGCCTCTAGCATTTATCACAAGAGCACCTTGATAGGTCAAAGAAGTGACGTTTACCTGGATAGCACATTACTAGCTGGCCTTTGTTACACTCACCCCCATCCCAGACGAGCCCCCACATGTAACCCTTATATCCATAAAGACATTTTTTAAACAATTAGTTCACTTTGATGCAAAATTAACTGCAAAGTTGCACTCTTTTTTTATTGAATCCAAATCTTACAATCTAATCATCAACCAATGAACGAAGCCGATTACTTTACAGTCTGGGTTCTCTTTTGGTTGGAGATGTGGGGATAGGGTCAAATAGTACAAACAAAGGCTTTTTTGGGACCACACTTCAAATGAAGGGATATGAGAAATTTCTATAAATACACCAGCTAGATTGGCAATATGGCTGCCAATATGCAAGAAAAACCTAAATCTTTTTTACAAGTTTGGCATAAACACAGCATCCATGTGTTAGCATCATGTTCTTTAAAAAAAACACTTACAAAATTAGTACCTTAAAATAAGTCTGTCACAGTCTTATGTCTCTATTGTTGTTCCGTGTTCCATGTGGTTTCTGTTTGTACTTTATTTAGTGATTTCCATTGTTCTGTTTTCCCGCTGATTCTTGATGATCATTACTTCCACCTGTGTCTCCCTTCTGTTTGTATTCAGATCATTAGGTCATGTGTTTTCATACTCCTGTGTTTTGTTCAAGCTGCGGTCACATTAGAGTTTGAACTTGTGAATTCTGTCGTGCGACACTGCGAAAAGGGGCGGGATTAAACAAGACGATTAGACATTAAAGAAAAACGAGCGATTGGTCCATGTTTTAAACTCCTGTTTAGAGAGGTCTTGTTTTGATCTTTGATTGGTCTCACGCAGTCAAGTGATGCAATTTCACAGGTAAGAGTTCACCAAGCTTGAACTTTTTAACACAGGGATCTGTGACACTTGACACACGAGCGTGCGTTTCTGGTCTGACGCATTTGCGTGTGTATAAATAGAAGTCTATGGGGAGAAAAGTCCAGTGTGACCGCAGATTCAGTCCTTCATCCGTTATGTGAATTGCCACACTGCCTGCCCAGCATCAGATGTTTCCAGTACCTGTTGTAAGTGTTAATTATTGTGAATAAATACATGGTTTTGATAACTCCTGTGATACAAAGCATCTCTTTAGAAGAGGTAAAACATGACAAAGTGCTGCACAACAGTCCCACAATGTATTTTAATACCTGTTACAGTGTGTCTGTCATAATGTTAAAGTTGTTGTCTTGCGCTTACATCCATGCATATGAGTACTGTGAAAACAAAGTAGAGTTTCATGATCCTTGCAACATGATCCATGGTAAAGAGCCTGAGGAAACCCTGAGGCTCATACATTTACAAACTAAAAAGAAACTTTTTCTAAACTCCAAATACACCACAAAAAGCTTTGCAAATGGGTAATCTTTTGAACATCCATCTCATATGACGTACAGTTTGAGCTGGAGATGACATGCATTGACTATTATGTCATTACACTGTAAAAAATGTGGTAAAAACTATTTCTTTATACTGTCCAAAGACAAATCAATAAAGTTAACTTATTTTTTTATGTTCAATATACATACATTTGTAAACACAATTAAGTTGTCCCAAATCTCTATTTTAAAATAATTTTTTAGAGTGTACTGAACATTAGTGACAGAAAGTGAATTTGTAGTGTCAGTTTGAATTGACTTCTCATAAAGCAACTATGACTCAGGGACGTGCATTCAGGCATTATTATTCTCACCTGCCATCATGAGATGTATACTAATAATAAAATAAAATTTTGTATTGGATTTGTCATTGGTTGTAATGCACAACCAATGCTGGAGCTAAAGGAATTGCTTCAATGTGTGTGTGTGTGTGTGTGTGTGTGTGTGTGTGTGTGTGTGTGTGTGTGTGTGTGTGAATGAGAGAGAGCGCATGCGGCGTGGTGCTTTGTGTGTCACTTGTTGTGGTTGTCTGTAGCATCCAGCTGGGTGTT